AGAAGACAAGATTAGAGAAGAAAGAGGAAAAAGGAATGAGCAAAGTCTCCAAGAAATATGGGACTATGTGAAAAGACCCAATTTACATTTGATAGGTGTACCTGAATGCCATGAAGAGAATGAATCCAAGATGGAAAATATTCTTCAGGATATTATTCAGGAAAACTTTCCTAACCTAGTAAGGCAGGACAATACTCAACTCCAGGTACTACAGAGAACACCGCAGAGATATTCCTCAAGTAGAGCAACCCCAAGACACATAACCATTAGATTCACCAGGGTTGAAATAAAGGAGAAAATTCTAAGGGCAGCTGGAGAGAAAGGTCAGGTTACCCATAAAGGGAAGCCTATCAGACTTACAGCAGATCTCTCATCAGAAACCCTACAAACTAGAAGAGAGTAGCGGTCAATATTCAGAAAAGAAAAGAATTTTCAACCCAGAATCACATATCCAGCCAAACCAAGCTTCATAAATGAAGGAAAAATAAAACTTTTTGTGAACAAGCAAGCACTCAGAGATTTCATCACCACCAGGCCTGCTTTACAAGAGCTTCTGAAAGAAGCATTACATACAGAAAGGAACAACCAGTATCAGTCATCCCGAAAACTTACCAAAAGGTAAAGAGTATCTCCATAATGAAGAATCTATATCAACTAATGGGCAAAATAGCCAGCTAGCATTAAACGACTATATTAAACTCACAAATATCAATATTAATCCTAAATTTAAATGGATTGAATGCCCCAATCAAAGACCAAGACAGGCAAATTGAATAAAAAGTCAAAACCCCTCGGTACACTGTATCCAGATCCATCTCCTAAGCAAGGACACACAAAGACTCAAAACAAAGGGTTGGTGGGAGACTTACCAATCAAATGGAGAGAAAAACAAAACAGGAGTTGTAACTTTAATCTCTGACAAAATATACTTTATAGTAACAAAGACTAAAAGAAACAAAGAAGGACATTATATAATGGTAAAAGGATCAATGCAACAACAGGAGTCAATGACCATAAATATATATGCACCCAATATAGGAACACCCAGACACATAAGACAAGTTCTTAATGACTTATAAAGAGACTTGGACTCCCGCACAATAATAGCGGAAGACTTTGACACCACATTATTAATATTCGACGGATCAATGAGATAGAAAATTAACAGGGACATCTATGATTTGAACTCAGACCTGGAATAAGTAAACTCAGTGAATATTTATAGACTTCTTCACCCCAGGTCCACACAACATACATTTTTCTCAGTATCACATTACACCTATTTTGAAAGTGACCACATAATTGGAAGTAAATCACCCTTTAGCATTTGCATAGCATTTCACAGACTTTAATGAAATATTGGTTGGCTGTTTGTTATTTTCTTCCTTTATTCCTTCCTGTCTCCACGGTTAAGCATAATTATCGGCATAAAAGAGGTTTTTAATACCTATTTTTAGATTGCATTCCAGCCTGGGCAATAGAGCAAGACTCCTGTTCTCTCTCCTCCTTTCTCTTTTTCTTTTTTTCTTTCAAAAAAAAAAAATTATTTAATTATTCAGAGGAATGGCTCAACTAACCTCAGCCCAGGAAAGAAAAAAAAGTTCTTACCTGTTTTAAACTTTGTTCCTGCTGTCTAGAATAGCCCCTCCAGCCAACAACATAGTAGTCTGCTTAATTAACATGTATTGTGCCTTCCTCAAGGCCAAGCAGGGTCCAATTATGGGCTTCAGCTAATTTTACCATTTTTTTCTCTTTGTATCTCATTCTGCTTTCCCTTAGCTCCCCTTAGCCTTATTGGCGCACAACAAAAGCTCAACAGGAGACTAGCAGCAGCATGATAAAATTAAATAGAATGCCACAAAAATGCCTGGGAATTTGAAAGGTGCCTCTTAACTTCAGCAGGGAAGCAGAGTAACATGGCCACTGTCTTTGGCTTAGAGAAATTTGCGTGGCACATGCACTTGATGGCTGGTTGTTCTATTTGTTTGCTATTATGAAACACTATTTTTCTTTATATGAGAACCATATCTAAGTGGGGTCACTATTGAGGGTACATATTTCCCAGTAAAGGGAAGTGTTGTCATCCTGTTGACGCCACTGAAAGCTGTTAGGACTATTAATTTTGTTGTTCATTTAGGCATGCATGGTTGCCACAGCAACAACAATCTCATAGTTCCTTCAAGCCCTCAGTGCAGTGAGCATCTGTTGAGAGTCCTACAAAGGTGTTATAGTTTCTTTCCTTCATGTCACAGATTGAACCCCTTGCTTGCTTTCCTTATGAGCTACATATTTATCAAGACTCCCTAGAGAGAGACAAGAGATTCTTTGCTGGAGCCAGTCAAAGGAAAAATATAAATGAAAATGAAGGCTTTTGTTTCCTGTAGCTGTTTCAGAGGACCTCAGAATGAGTGGTTTAGAAGTCAGATGATTATTAAAGATCTTGTTGGTCAGCTGAAATGTGAATAAGTCCTTGGCAAAATTCACAGCCAATCTTTTATGCAGGGTGGCCAGGACACTGAGTATCCTGTGCAAAGCCAAAATTGTAAATTCTAGCTCAAACTCCTAGTGGTATCCAGTAGTAGGGTGCAATCTCTTGCCAACTATTTTTCATAATCCAAGACCTTTTTCTTAAGAATCACATAGGGTTCAGAATATATGCTTCTTAAATGGATGCATTTCCTCTCTCTCGCTGTCTATCTCTTCCTTAACGAGCAGTTGATAGAGAAAGCTTATGTTTTCAAAAGCATTTATTGGTACTGATAGACAATCATCTTTGAAGACACTACTCAATATGAGTCTTTGATCCTGTCCTAATTTGTCTCATTAGCAAGTTATGGTCAGAATTGAGAGGAATTACAATTTCTAGATAAATTATATACTAACAAAATTAAAGGCGCCAAGACTGGTCAGGCTGTCTTTATAGCTGTTGAGTGGAGGTATTTTGAGTCCTTGTAGAATCCTCATTTGAAATTTACATGTAAATGTTAGGGCACCTGACTGAGCAAGTTTATGAAAACATCATTACAGTTTCCTCCTCCTTCTGTCATTATTCTGATCAAGATGATCATGAACAGATTTCTGTATTCATTTCTACAGAGAAGCTTACTCATTCCTCTTCAAAATTCTTTTATCTAATGATACCTGTTGTGCAATCATAAGTAATATTTAACTGTAAAATCTTTTACTTGGAGTAAATTATCTTTGAGATGGATTCAACTAAAGATTCTCTGTTAGGTAATTGTTATTTTTCCTGTTCTGGGTTTGGAGAAGAAACTTCTAGGTTATATACTGTTTTTAGGCAAGAAGCCTGAGCCTGGGTTACCCTGGCTTTCGTAAGACACTGAGTATGTCCTGAGGGCTTCTTTTTTGCAATTCTTTGTGGAGATTCCTGGGACCAATTTTTGTAAGACTCTCCCATCCAACCACCCTTTTTGCTATCTTTTAATTTTTTCTTTCAGAGTTCTTCTCTTTATTTTACTTATTTACTTCTCTAGGATAATAAGATCGTAGTACTTTTGAGCTGGAAAACACCTCCCACCTTATCTTGTACATTTCTGTCCTCACAACTTGCAATGCTCAACTGTGCTCATGTTGTCTACTTTTAAAAACTTGTGTACGTGGATATGGTAATAGCTGAGCACAAACCAAACATTTTATTATATCCAATTTATTATGCCAATGTGGTTTTAATGAAACAGACTTAATACAAATGAGAAGTTTTTTTTCTATTTCTAACTCTGATTTTAATTCATACACTGACCCTGGACAAATCTGTCTAATTGAAGATGAGAATGGCCTTCTCTCATAACTTACTGAGTAAATGAGCTAATATATGTAAGGTTCTTTGGAATATGTGAGGTACTATGTGTAAACGATAGGGATATTCATCCATAATGTCTGCCTCTGGAATCCACATCAGCCTGGTGGCTTTAACTGTGACCTCAGCCAAGGTGGCAAAATCCTATCAGAAATCTACTACAAAATTGTGCATTTTCTTTTACCAAACAATTTCACTACTAGAAATTTAAACTACAGAAATATTCATATGTGTGGATACAGTGCCAAATATTAGCTAAAGCATTGCAATTGAAAAGCTGGAAACTTAACCAGGTAGAAAATTAATTTTCTATCAGTAGGAAGAAAGCTAAATAAATATCCATATAGTATGCTGCCATTATAAACAAATAAGATTGATGTACTCTAAAATGGCATAAAAATATCTTTAAGACATGTTCTATGAAAAAGCAATTCATTAAATAGTACATAGTGTATGATCCCATTTATGCTAAAGAAATGCAAACCCCACACAGAAAGGAAACAAAGCCACACCTATATATGTGAATACATTTGTATGTAAATTTGCAGTGTCCCTATGTCATTGAGAGTCCCTCTCTTATTGTATTATGTAGTATGGAGAGTAGAGGTTAAGATTGAATTCTGGAGTTACACTGACTGGCTTCAAATCCTGGCATGACACCTACTACGTGTATAACTGTGGATAAATCACAACTCTTCCATGATTCATTTCCCCACCTCTAGAATGGGTTTGTCAATTTCAGCTAACTTGAAAATTTTAAATGCATAGAAAACAATCTAGAATACTTTCGATTACCCTGAGACACAGCAGGGTAGCTGGAAATATGAAGTTCCTTTTAAAGTACCCAACTCTACACAATGCAAATAATACTGAATAAAGCTAATCTGCTTCTATAGGACTGCATGGGAAAGCTCAGAAAAAAAATATAAATTTTGGTAAATGCAACCGTGAACTGGAAGGATAGGGAGAAACAGCCAACATCTGGGTGTGTGAGCATCAAGAATGTGACAGAGGCTTTTCTGGAAGAACTATGGGAAAATCCATTGTCTGAAGAGGAAGAATCATGAAAGGGGCTTGTGTCTCCACCCCAGAGGGGTCCAGTGATCTTATATGTGGCTTTCCTCTCAGCTCTATGTATCCACTCCAGCTCATTTCCTCCTGTATTCTACTATCTCTACTGCAGAAAATCCCCCTGAGAAGAAGGCAGACCTTCCCTCCAGGGAGGTCAAGGAGGATTGCACTGATTCACTTCATGCAAACAGCTTCCTGGGGAGGGAGCTTTTGCTCTCCCTGCTGTGTGGAGAGATTGAGGAGCCTCCAAGGCTTGGCAGCAGGTCAGTACCCAGCCAAGTTTCCAGAACCAAGAGAGAGGCATAGCTTTTTTCTGAACCTAATTTCTTTTCCAGAAGAGCATTAAGTCCTCTTGTTCTTACTTGAATTTGATCTCCATGGATCCACAATTTTGTTTGGTGGATCTATCTAGAAATATCCACAATTGAAGGGCTTTTGGTCCTTGGCTGACTCACAGGGACCAGTCCCTTCCATACAGATGAGGAACCAGGGCTTCAGAGAGTCTAGTGACCAGCCGAGGTCAAGAGGCCACTTTATGAAATGCTGAACTAGAAACAGTCACCAGTCTTCATTCAGGAGTCTTTCCATCATACTAACACATATTTATTGGCAAGAAAAATCTGCTCAAAAAGAATTCAGTCTTCTAGAAGAAAGATTTTAGATATTATAGGTCAAAGAAAGTATAGAGATTGTGTCATATAGGCCTCTGGAAGAAGTTTTATTGTTCTTAAGTCCTCCCTCCCTTATTTTACTTAAAATAACATCTGTCTTGGCTAATTGTAAATCCAAGTTATATTCTACTGGGTGAGCCTGTGTGTGTACCTAGGGGTGATGTCAGTGTGGCTCCCTAAAGATTTCAAAAGGTGACTCCTCTTGGGTTTTATTCTGTAGTAAAAATAATCTGTGGTGGTTTTTGTTTTCCTTGTCTTATAAACTAGAGGAGTCAGCCAGGAGGCCACTGCCTCCTGATTTTCTATGTGGTCATTATCCATACTCCATTCAGACCACATTTAAGACCACTGGATCTCAAATGATCCTCAGGGACTGTTCATGTGGTTATCTGTGGGGAGGGAAGCGGGGAGGTGTGCAGGCAAGCAACACTAACCAAAATATTTCTTCAGAAAGCTTGCAGACTTCCAATGTGAATTCACCTCTGGAAGACTGCCATATGTTCTGTTTTAAGGTTTCATGTCCTTTACGTCACTGAACTACTCTTTCTTATTCTACTGTGTAGTGTAGAGAGTAGAGATGAAGATAATGGGTTCTGGAATTGGACTGACTTTACATCCTAGCTCTGCATTTACTAATTGTGTGATTATGGATAAATGACTTAATCTTTCTGTTTGCTTCCTATCTGTAAATTGATTTGAAAATTTTATCTCACACAAATAACTTATTTTTATTTATTTATTTATTTATTTATTTATTTATTTATTTATTTTGAGACGGAGTTGCGCTCTTGTTACCCAGGCTGGAGTACAATGGCACGATCTCGACTCACCACAACCTCCACCTCCTGGGTTCAGGCAATTCTCCTGCCTCAGCCTCCTGAGTAGCTGGGATTACAGGCACGCGCCACCGTGCCCAGCTAATTTTTTTTGCATTTTTAGTAGAGACGGGGTTTCACCATGTTGACCAGGATGGTCTCGATCTGTTGACCTCGTGATCCACCCGCCTCGGCCTCCCAAAGTGCTGGGATTACAGGCTTGAGCCACCGTGCTCTGCCCACAAATCACTAATGTGAGAACTAACTAGTTATAGTCCAGACACATGTGAGAGAGCACTTGGCATGTGGTAGCCACTCAATGAATGTTGCCTCTAATCCTTAACATCTGCTCATGCAGCCCAACATTGTGGAAAGAACATTAGATTGATGGGTCAGGAGACACAGGATCTGTTCTAGGATCTTACTTCCATGTAGCTACATGAACTTGAGACAGTCACTTGATCCCAACTCACAGAATTTAAGACATGGAAGCAAGTATTTGTTTCAACCTCCTCATTTAACAAGTAAAATTGGGTCTTGGAGAAAGGAAGAGACTCATCCAAAGTCCCCAGGGAGTCAATGCCCAGGCCAGGATCAGCCAGCAGCACTCTTGACTTTTGTTCCATAGCTTTTCCCATCATTCCTCTGGAGACAGAAGGTCTTGCCAAGTGGTCCAAGCTTTGCTGAAGACCTAAGGACTTTGGGATTGATAGGCAAGTGGTTCCTAACGTGCTCTCTTGGGGTTGCAACCATCCCAGAAGCAGCAGCCAGTGCTTTCTACTATGTCATGGTTGTCATAACTATAACTGCAGAGCAGTAACTTTAAGATGCTACTGAGTGAGAGCCACTGCATCTACAGACTACCCAGTAAATTCATTCCAGGCCAACGGGGCAAGGTTGAGTAAGCCCACAGAGCCCAATAGCTTGATAATTGCCCATGTTTCTTCTTTCTCCTTCTTGGCTCCTGACAGAGACACTTAGAGTGACATTATCTCTATCTTAGGCTACAGAAGTCTACTTTTATGCTCTCATTACAGGCCATTGTCACTCTTTTCCTCTTCTCCTCTCACTCCCACACAGATTCTGAGATCACAGGCTGACCATATTATCCACTCTTGGGTACATGGCTTTGACCTGCAAGATCCCCTTTCTGTTCCACACTCTGACCACAGCAGACACTCAGCAAAACCAGTCCTGTTCAGAGCTGCTGGGTAGGTACGTTTGAGTCTGCTGCAGGGAACTCACAACCACCTCTTTTCTCAGGTGCTCTGTCCTGGGAAGGTGGGGCTTTATTTGTAAGTTCCTGACGTGCTGCTGCCTTTTTTTCAGAGATGCCCCACCCAGCAAGGAGGTAGTCTAGTCACAGTTTGCCAGCAGAGGCATTCCCAAGCTGCTGCAGGCTCTGCCCAGCTGCTGTGTAAACTTCCTTGTGGTTTTATTTACAGAGGTACAGTTAGAACTGCCTCAGTAATGACGGTCTGCCTCAGTGATGGCAGATTGCCTCAGTAATGGTGGACTGCCTCAGTAATGGCAGATGCCCTTTCACCCACTGAACGGGATCGTTTAGAGTCCAGCTGGGCTTGCTGCGAAACAGAGCATTTCAGATTGCTGGTCTTTGTAGGGGTGGGACCCACTGAGCCAGATCACCTGGCTCCCTGTTTCAGCCCCCTCTTTTTCAGTTGAATGGGCAGCTCTGTCTCCCAGATATTCCAGGTGCCAGTTGAGACGGCTGCTTGTGTGAGTTTTTATGGGGAAACCCATGGTGCAGGCAGCTGTACTAGACACTTGTGGTGTGATTTTCGGCCTGGGAATATCCTGGTCTGTGGGCAGTAAAAACTCCTTTAGAAATGCAGTGATTACTCACCCTCTGGTTGTTCTTGGGGAACAGCTCTGGGAACTGCACTCCAGAGCTGTTCCTATTTGGCCATTTTTGATCTCCTCCCCTCCTTAAGTAAGGTAAGTTGTCAGAATATGAGGTGTGGGTAATCTTGCATAACCCAAACGTAGGGCTCTTACATGAGGTGGTTTCTTAAATTTTCTAAACAATTTTAAATGGAACAGAAAGCAGTACCCTAAAACATGATTTATGCAGAATGGCTTTTATGTATAGATATATGAAGCAAGAATTGAAATGTGTGTTATACTGTCTTAAAAAAAATCAATCTATAAAGACAGTGGGGTTGCCTATGTTTTCTACTGTATGAATCTAATCAGCAATAGTAAAACTGCAGAACAGTTAGTGGGGGAAAAAAAAAAGCAAAAAACAGTCTGGTACTCATTATTCTAAATATATACCAGGCCTATGTCTTGGGGATAGTACACATATTACGCTTCTCCATCGATTCTTGCTCAGTCCTCACAGATTGACTATTATCATTTCTATAGAGCCCATAATGGTCCCCTCCCTTAGAAGTGGACTTCTGTTCCTTAGAACAAGCACTTGCTACAGGTCTGTAGAGGTTCTACTTCCTTCAACACACTTCTTAACAAGCACGTACTGGGCCTCTTTTTTTTTTGGAGAGAGGGTCTCGCTCTGTCACCCAGGCTGGAGTGCAGTGGCACGCTTACAGCTCACTGCAACCTTGACCTTGTGGGCTCAAGTGATCCTCCCACCTCAGCCTCCCTAGTAGCTCCTACAGGCATGTGCCAGCATACCTGGCTAATTTTTATATTTATTGTAGAGATGGGATTCTGTGATGTTGCCCAGGTTGGTCTTGAACTCCTGGGGTCAAGTGATCCACTTACCTCAGCCTCCGAAGTGCTGGGATTACAGGTGTGAGCCACCACGCCTGGCCATACTGGACCTCTTTTTAGGTCCTAAAAAAGCATTTAGCAGAGTTCCTTGCCCCGTGGAGAAACTCAGTTGGACCTTTTTGAGCAATTGTTGGCTGGTTGGTGGAGTTGGAGTATGGGACTCAAGGCTTAATAAAAAGGTTATTTCTTTCTAGTCCAGGAATGTTTTATCCTCAAGTGTATTGTTAGTCCTTGGTAAATCAGTCAGCCACACATCTTTCTCTAGTTACAGCCATTCTAAGCCTTCTTGAAGCATAGTTGTTAATGCCTAGTTGTTTTGAGAATGCAACTTTTTAGAAATCTGGTATGACACATTTTTGAAATTAAAGTGAATTAAAATTAATTTTACTCCTTTTTTTTATTTTTTAGTGGCAGAAACTGACAGTCCAAGATGAACAAGAAAAACAATTTACACCCTTTAAAAAACTTGAATGAAAGTTTAAGTATGTTAAAGAAAGGTAAGAAGAGTGAAGGAGTCTGGAGTTTTCACTCATTGACTCACTCATTTACTTACCCAGTCATATCCTTGCAGCTTGATTTCCTGCATTTCAGGAGGAAACAGTTGTTAGTTTATGTAAAATTCTGTATAGCCCTCTACTAGAGCCTTAATGCCTCAAATTCTGTTTGCTAAAATAGTGTTCACAAGTAGCTTGTGTTCACAAACTAAAGCCAATGTTTCCCTAAGATCAAATTCTCTGCGACAAATTTTATCCCCAAATTCGGGAAAAAAATGAGAAGAATGCAAAGATTAATCCTTGGAGGCCCTTAAATAAGCCTTTCTTCCCCTATTTTCTGTTTGCTTTTTAAGTTTTGTATTCAGAGAGTAATAGGTGAACACTTCCATGGCTAAAACACATGTAAATTGAAACCAGTGTTCAGGCCAGTAATTAAAGTGGGGTACTCGCTTGGTTATTTACTTTCTAGCTCCCAGATTGTGAGTTCAGTTCCTCATCAAGCTGTACTTTTTTCTTTCTTCTTTTTCTTTTCTTTCCTTCTTTTTTTTTTTTTTTACAGAGATTAAAGCAACCTGAATTTATAATAGCATCTTGTGAAAGGAGAGGGGTAAGAGCTACAGTGGTTTTAGTAAATAATGCACTTTGATGTCTCCAACTTGAAATCCATATTTTGAGAGCCCTGATACATCTAAATAGTATTTGGAATAAATTTTTAAGTCTCAAAGCTGGTGCCATTTGCAGAAAATAATGCCTGTAGACAGCGAATATTAACATTCCTCCCACATCTCTCCACTTTGTCTTACAATCAAGTGTGTCTATTGGTCTCTGTGAAGCTTATGGAGTGTACATGCCACATGACCAAGTTGTGTCCACTCTTCTTTTGGCTGCTGGCCACCAAGTTATTTATAGCTGGTAACCTTGGCTGGAGGCTTTGGGCCATTCCCTTATTCTGGGTAAGAAAAAGGTAGGAGAAAAAGACTTCGTAGGAATACCTTGTTTTCTATAAAGCAATGGAGCCATTTCAAGAGCCCCCTCCTTTGACCACCAGAAAGGACAGTGAGGTCTAGGTGTAGTTAAGGATTTATGTCTGTAGGCTGGACTCTGTTGGTCCCTCCAGTTTATATTCAGGTTCATCTGCTGTGGTACCACTTTGGAAATTTCATGGACCTTTGACCATATTCACAGGGCAACAAGAAGCTTTGAAATCCAATAAATGTCAAAATCCAAGAATAGATTTCAAAAATTACTTTTCTGCAAAGGTCTCAAGACAAAATTCCTTTTGTTCCTGCCGTGGAGGCCCTTAGGTCGTACAGGGCATTTGTATCCAACAAGGTCTCAGGAGCTCTTATTTCTTCTGCTATCACATTGTGTTTGTGATGTCATGAGTGGTTACCATGGAAGTAATTATCATGATGTGGGAGATGTGTGAATTCAGGTGTGGAGAAACTTAGCAGCAAGAGATGGGTTTTTGAGAAAAAAAGACAAATCTCCTTTCATTCCAACTTCCTTAGTAACAAAAGGATGAAGCAGAAAAAAAGGGAAAGTAAATACAATGACTGAAAGTTAGCTTTTGAACAGCATGTCATTTATGCTATGACATATTGGAAAGTCTTTTATTTATTTGGTTTTTAAAAAATTACATTTTGATCACATATCTTGGAGTATGGTGTTAAAAATAAATGTTACGTTCTTTCTTGGAGGAAAAAAATGGCTTGTATAGCAGGAGAGAATTTGGTATTATGAAGTCCAAAGAGAACAGGAAAATCTTTTGAGTGATACACCAGGAAGCTTAAAGGTGATATGTTTTTGCCCAGTTGGAAAAAATAAAAAGCTGCTGCAATCTGCAAAACACTACAAAAATAAGATTCAGCCAAGCTAACAATGCAGCCAGACTGGCTTGCTGCTGGCATTTGACAAGCTAGGGAAATGAGACTGCAAAAATCCACAGGGAATTCTTTTCCCCTTCATGTTAATGAAGTACTGTACATTTCTTTCTCGGGACTAGGGGCAGTGGGGGTGAGGACCCACTGAGCAAGTGGGTGCTGCTGAGCAAGTATTTTAAGGAAATGATCCAGAATCCCCTGCCTCTGGCTTGGAATAATCAATGTCATTACTGCTTGTTTGGAAGCTTTGTCTTTTCTTGGAAAGGACCCAGGGCTGGCAAGCTCAAGTAGTCAGCGTGGTGACTGGTGAGAGAGGGACCCTGCCAAGGCAAGTACAGGAAGACTGAGGCGCCCTTGAGTGTCAGATTCTGAGTGATAGACCTGGGTTCAAGTCACAGCTTTGCCCCTGTGGATTTTTTCTTTGACCTTCACCAAGGTCCTTAATTGCCCTGCTTTCTTACCCTGTTAATCAAAGGAGACTGTCGTAACAATAAATACGTTGGACATAAAACGTATATTTTTATTCAGGCTACAAATGCAAGGTATTAGACCTTATTAGGGGTTCTGTGTCAGCACAGAGATATTTGGTTGCTTTTTTGTCACATGGTATCTTTCATGACCTTCGGGGTGCAAGTTGGCACTTTGTTTGGTGAGAATTGATACTGGCAGCTAACCTTCCATGGTACTTCTTTGGTGAAAGGAGGATAATGGCCCTAGGCAGGGGTCAGTTCCTATAAGGTCAAGTGCAAACTCCTTAGCCTGGTGTTAGAGGCCTTCCCTAATTACTCCCCAACTAAGCTTCCCAATCTCATTTCCTTACTCCATCAAGTGTGCCCTTTGCCTTGGTCAAATGTGATTTGTCACTGGATATGCCTCTGGTCTTCCTTGAAGTTGTTTCTTCTGTTCTTACCCAATCAACTCTAGCTCGTCTCTGCGCAGCTAGTTTCTGCCCCATCCTATATTGATCCCTCCTTGTTATCAGCACCTCCTACTCCTGAATATATGTGTTGACACAAGGATGTCGGCTCAGTGTAGGGGGACATGAGCTTGAATCCAGAATCCAGCCAAGTCTTATATCCTGCTGACTGAGGTACTGTGTCTGCCTGGAGGAAAGGCACCTTTTTGTAATTAGAAGAAAGGCACTGGAAAGGGTAGAGGTGGCTCTGTGGATATTGACAGAGTTAACTTTTCATCTATGTTCTACATTTTCTTGAAATTATATGCTCCTTGAGGACTGAGGATTTGATTTTCTGTAGATATTGCACATGAAATACATGATTTTGTTTTGACTTATAATAAACACAGTGAGTTCTGAGTAAGAGATGGTACTGGAAGCTACTTGAGGACTGAGCTTACCCATATCTCTACCTGTCAATCCAACCCCCATAAATACTTGTGAGCTTGCTTATCTGTAGTAACAGTGGGGAAACATCAGTACCATTCTCTTTTTAAAATTCTTCAGTGCCTATTTTGGTTTCTATTCAGTCCAAGTTGGAAGTGAGATAGTTTCCCCTCTGAACGCTCAGACTGGGTTTTAGTTGAGGCTCTTGGGTCTGGGCCGGCGTTTTCACTCTTCCTAGAGCAATACTGCACTGGGGCTTTGTGGTGGGTCAGAAAATTGGGCCTGTAACTTACTGCTCACAGAAGGGTCAGGCTGGGCTCTGTGTGCTGAGGACATCAGGGGGAGAGCCATGTGGCTCTATCCTCATGGCGTTCCTGGATCATACGTGAGGAAAACAGACATGTAAGCAAGTGGCCATGAAGCAATATAAGAGGCACTATAGCAGCAGGAGCTCGCACAGAGGCCTATGGGGTCACCATGGGGCAGCAGAGACTTGTCTCCCTGCATGGGGGCAGGCACAGGTGGAGTGACTGGAGAGAGAAGGTGGCTTTAAGTGGTGATATAAAGCAATCTGGTTCATGTCCACATCTTCCATTGCAGTCTGTGTACAGATGACTCTCAAAATGTGTGTCTCCATCCCAGACCCATCCATCACTGTTATTTCCACTTGGAAGCTTCAAAGGCTCCTGAGACCCATTCTGTCCCAAACAGATCTCAGGATCTTTTCACCCAAATCCAATCATCTTCTGGTGTTCCATCTTTCCAGATGGTACCACCCATCCATCTGCCTTGGTAAACTGGCTTGGTCAGTTCATTTGCTCCGTTGTCAGCTCCCAGTCCAAGTTGGCATTCGTGTGTCTTGCCTGGAATGGAGGCAGTACCTGCCTCCTCAGTGGGCCCCCCACATCTGCCCTGAGCCCTCCAGCCCCTCTCATTGCAGATGGAATCACTGTTACGAAATGCAAATCTGCTCACATCACACGCTCCCCAAACTACCTCCCTCCCCATGCTTAAAACCTCTTAATGCCTTCTAATTTCTCTTAGGATAAAGACTCAAATCCTCAGCAAGGCCTCTAAGGCCCCTCATGATCTGTCCTCTGGAGACCTTCCCAGTGCCCCCAGCTCTGTTCTGAGTGGCACCAGCCTGCTCCCAGGCCCCCGGCCCAGGCAGCCTTCTCAGCCTGGAATGTTCTCTCCTGTTGTTGCCATCCTCCCCTCCCACCCCTGTTATCTAATTCATCCCTTCTCAATTTTTAGATTTCACCTCAAATATCACTTCTTCAGGGAAATCTCCCTGGATCCTCCTGACTGCTTCAGCCCTTCTTCCTAGTATTTCTCAGAGCACATTTCCTTATCAAATATCTCGATTTGCAATCACACATTTATTTATATGGTTATCTGATTGATGTCTGTTTTCCCCGGAAGGTTGGGAGCTCCAGGATCCTGGCTGGGTTGTGGTGCTTCATACACCTTAGAGTCTCAAGTAAACATGCATTGAATGAATAGGTGCATGAAGGTTGTTCAGGAAGAGAGAGCCACCTCTTGGGGCTGCCATGTCGGTTATGTGAGAGGAAACAGCTAGAAGTGAGTTTGGGAACAAGCCTAGGGCTGAGATGATGCCCTCTAGGTACAGGGGCACTGTGTAGCCTGCAACCCAAGGATGTGACTGGCCAAGAGCTGGGTTTTAGAGAAGCTCTGAGAGGAGCATGGGTGGACGTGTGGAGGGTAATGCCTCTTGGGACCAGGGAGACACATTAGGAAGCATCTGATGCGGATGATGGGAATTAGGGCAGCAAATGAGAATGGAGAGATGGGGACAAATGGATTTGTTATTCTCCATTTTCATTTTCCTTCTCCCAGAAGGGCAGCAAGGGATCAAGGAGCTTTACATGATTTCAGCATTTTTAACCTGCCTGACCTGAACCTCACCAAAGGACAGGGGGAAAGTGAGAGGGGATTTGGAGTCAGTGGAGTAGTGGGCAGTGGCAGAGTCACCAATCTGTGTTTTTTTTTTTCCTTTCCTTTTTTTTTTTTTGAGACGGAGTTTCGCTCTTGTTACCCAGGCTGGAGTGCAATGGCGCGATCTTGGCTCACCGCAACCTCCGCCTCCTGGGTTCAGGCAATTCTCCTGCCTCAGCCTCCCGAGTAGCTGGGATTACAGGCACGCGCCACCATGCCTAGCTAATTTTTTGTATTTTTAGTAGAGACGGGGTTTCACCATGTTGACCAGGAGGGTCTTGATCTGTTGACCTTGTGATCCACCCGCCTCAGCCTCCCAAAGTGCTAGGATTACAGGCTTGAGCCACTGTGCCGGGCCTTTTTTTTTTTTTTTTCCTTTCTTAGGCAAATGTGGCCTGTTGGAAGGTTGGGAGGTATGTGAGTCCATTTGGGCTGCTGTAACAAAGTATCATGGACGGAGTGGCTTATGAATGACAGACACTTATTTCTCACAGTTCTGGAGGCTGGGAAGTCTGAGAGCAGGGTACCAGCATGGTCAGCTTCCTGTGAGGACTCCTCTGGGTTGTAAGCAGCTGACGCTCATTGCATCCTCACCTGACAGAAAGAGAGCAAGCTAGCTCTCTGACCTCTTCTAAGGGCATTAATTTCACTCATGAAGGCTTCACCTTCATGACCTAAATACCTCCCAAAGAGGCCCCACCTCCAAACACCGTCATGTTGGGGGTTAGATTTCAGCATATGAATTTGGAGGGGACACAGACATTCAGCGCATAACAGTAGGAGAGGGTGCCTTCAGGACCTGCTGCCCTGAGCTGATGGTGAGTTGGTATGTGAGAGGTTGTGACATCCAGGGAAATTCCTTTTGGGTTGGACATTTCTGGTCCTCCTGACCTGATCTGAGGTGTGCATCAAGGTGCTTGTCTTCACTGAGATCCCTTGAGTGTCTTGTAATAATTCATATTTTGAGAGGCTGATAGTACCAAGGGCAAAGTGGGCTTGGGACCAGGGAGACACACAATACATAAGGAAAGGTATTTGCCTCACGCTAGGTTTGGAGCCACACCTATTTTGCTATTCTTTTTAATGGTTCCTATAGTCTGAATGACAGAGATAACACTAGGGTGATGTATTGGTTGAATTGGATAGAATGCAAAACTTGATGCTACTAAATTTTAGCTTTTCAAGAATATGTGTTTTATAGATCTAGCACCCTCTTCTAGAATGTGACTGATATAAAAAGTACTGTCGTGTTAATAGAGTTCATGGCTAATGTAGCTTATGTCGTTTGCCATTTTCACTACATTTTAACTGCAAATCAGGCTGCTACATTTGGGCATGCAAGTTGCGCTTGCCTAGTTCTGGCCAGGTCAGTTCATGTAGGCTCCTGTAGGCATGGTATGCCTGGAGTTGTGTGAGGTGGCACCCCTGCCCATACAGTGTGCAAGGCGGGCATTAGCCTTTTTTGCTGGCTTAGAATGGTAAATGCCTTATTCAATGTCATGTGATGAGTAAATACTGGCATGGCTGTTAGGCCCCAGCTTTAGGATCTAAGTCTAGTTTTGTTTGTTTCTCTGTAGTTTTAGAGACAGCGTCTTTGTCACCCAGGCTGGAGTGCAGCAGCATGATCATAGCTCACTGCAGCCTCAACCTCCTGGGCTCAAGCCATCTTCCAACCTCAGCCTCCTGGATAGCTGGGACTACGGGTACCCATCCCACACCCGGCTAATTTTCATTTATTTATTTTTTGTATGGACGAGGTCTTACTATGTTGCCCAATCTGGTCTTGAACTTGTGGCCTCAAGTGATCCTCCCACTTTGGCCTCCCATAGTGCTGGGATTTCAGGTATGAGCTACCAAGACTTGACCCTAAAAGTCGTATTAATTTTTCAGTTAATTAATTGTCTCCTGGCTGATGGGTGAGCAAGTACGTGAGTGAGTAGTGTAAAGATGAAGCCTCATTTCAAGAGTCAGATACACACACGATATGATTTGTTTTGTAGGCTCCTGAGCTCCCCTGGCAGAACCAGCTGCCCAAATCTGCAGCCCTTTACCTGGACCTCACCCATTCTCATTGTGGGCCGGGGCCCATGGGGTGGGCCCAGATGACGTGGCCTTGGGTGTCTCTGCACTTTCCTTCCTGAATCCTTTGCATCTTCCTGGTTACTCCTCCTTTGCCTCTCCTGTTCCTCTCTTCCAGCTCCTAACAGGCCTTCCTCTCCCACAAAGTGTGCATTAAATAAAGTAGAAAATTATAATTTCAATAGGGAGGTATAAAAGATAAAACAGCCTTTACAACACAAAGGAATTAATCTATAAGAGTGGAAATTTTGGCTGGGTTGGAGAATCATGAATCTGTGGATCTTTATGTGGGAGAGCAGGAAAGAACCATACAAATCACATAACGCAAATGAGGAAATAGAGGCCCCAGAGAGTTAGTGGGATTGCTGGGTGCCAGAATCCACAGTTTTCCCATTATATTAGGTTGGTGCAAAAGTTTGCCAATGGCAAAAACCACAGTTACTTTTGCACCAACCTAATATCATATTTTCCTGATTCATTTTAAGTTGGGGTCTTCCCTGACATCTTTTTCACCTTACCTGGCTGAGAGTGGCCCTGCATGTTGACCGTGTAGTGCCCGTTATTGGGGGAGCAAGAGGGCAGCGTGAAGGGGGAGAGGCAGTTTGACCAGCAGTGTGACTCTGGCGTGACCCAGGATTCGTACTTTTAAATGCCATTATGAAATGCAGTTCAGTGGAGAGCTCAGCCTCTTCCCATCAGACTAATGCAGCCACGGCGGAGAGGCGGGGTAGTGGCTGGCTGCCTGGCAATCGCCTGGAGCTGGGCAGAGGGATTATGCCCGCTCAGGCAGCCTCATCACTGTAATAAAATGGGAGTTATGCTTATCGACTCATCAGGACTGCCCATTTAGACGATTACCCCATTTCCAATCCTATTTCTAGAGAAAAGAGGATTGCTGGACACTTCCTTCCACCCCCACCCCTGGCAGGACTGTGTTTAGTGATGGCTTCTGGAGGGGACATACTGGAGATAGGCACTCAGTGGACTGAGAGTTTTACTCTCTTTGTCTTCCAGAGCTGACAAGCATAGCAGGACAGCCATCCCCTGAGAGATAGGAGAGGAGGAGAAACAGCTCAGCAGGGGCCTGGAGCAGCTGGCTGGCGTCAGTAATTTCCTGCAGGAGACTCTGCCGGCCGAGGACACATCACCCTTCTGTTGCTCCTCTGTGTTCTCCCTTGTGCTACTAAAATAAGCTAATGTAACTCTTGGGCTGTGCTAAGCTAAATGCAGTTATTTAACCTCATCTCTATGGAACCCAGGTCTAAAGCAGCAGCATCTATTTGGAACAAGATGGGGAGGAGGTAAGCCCCAAACATTCCTGAGCAGCAGGAAAACAAATTACCAAGTTTCTCTTTCTGCACAGAAGAGCCGTCTGGGTCCTTGCTGGAGACCACTGACTTTTACTTAACACGTAGGTCTAGCTTGGTGAACTGCTTTCTGACACCTGAACAGATCGGAAGCAGGGAATTGAAGGTGAGGAAAGACTGCCACAAGCAGGAGCCAAGAGTTAAGAGCCAAACCAAGGTAGTGACATTCATGGGGACAACTGTGGGTGGGAATCCTACCCAAAGGGGGATGTTGGATGAATTGCTCCTAAGGCTCCTTCCAACTTTTCAGTTCATGGCTCTGAGTGTCCCTGGTTTGACTGTGATGGTGAAGGCAGAGAAGAGGGAGAGGGAAACCTCTGTGGGGAGCTGGTACCCAGCAGGAAGTGTGGCTCTCTGTGTTTGGAGAAGGCCCTGAGTTTTAGTGCTCAGGAGTACTTGCCTGCTTTTGCTGGAGTCCTCTGGGCTAAATATGTGCTCTCGACCTCCACTTTTTTTTTTGGCCAGCAAGAGCGAATTCGTGCTCTTCGTCATGAAGGTGGATGTTTCTGGAAGAAATTTTGTGATGTCCTTTGCAGAGACATGGATGGAGTTGGAAGTCCTTATCCTCAGCAAACGAATGCAGGAACAGAAAACCAAACACTGCATGTCCTTACTTATTAGTGGGAGCTGAATGATGAGAACACATGGATACTTGTGGGGAAAGCACACACACTGGGGCCTATCGGACCTGTGGGGTTGTGGGGAAGGGGAGAGACTCAGGAAGAATGGCTAATGGATGCTGGGCTTAGTATCTAGGTGATGGGATGATCTGTGCAGCAAACCACCATGGCAGATGTTTACCTGTGTAACATACCTGGACATCATGCACATGCATCCCGGAACTTAAAATAAAAGTTGAAGAAAAAAAAGAAAATGTTTTGTGAAGTCTGGAGGTGTAACGTACAGACATGGGCTAGGGTGAGACAGGCCCATGTTCAGATCCTTGCTTCCTCAGTAAGCTAGTGGGGAGACTGGTGAAATCACTGAACCTCAGTTTCTCCACCTGGACATCTGCCATAGAAATGGCACATCATGTGTCGTCCTGGCTGTGACCTTCGGTAGCTCATCACTGCCCTTCTTACTGTTCTCAGGGTAAACTCCTTTCCAGGCAGAATTGCCAAGACGCCCGGTAAAATTTGAATTTCAGATAAACACTGAATAATTTTTTAGTATAATGATGCTCCAAATATTGCATGGGATATACTTAACACTAAAAAAAAATTATTGTTTATCTGAAATTCAGATTTAAGTGGGCAACCTGCATTTTAAAATAAACCTTTAATTTTAGAATCATTTTAGATTTACAGAAAAAATTATAAAGATAGTACAGAGTTACCACACACCCCACACCCCGTTTCTCCTGTAACTAATATCTTACATCAAGCCAGGTACAGTGGCACATGTTTGTAATCCCAGATTCTCAGGAGGCTGAAGTGGGAGGATCACTGGAGTCCAGGAGTTCGAGGCTGCAGTGAGTCGTGATGGTGCCACTGCACTCCAGCCTGAGTGACAGAGTAAGATGCTGTCTCTTAAAAAGAAAAAAAATCTTATGTCAGTATGATACATTTGTCACAATTAATGAACTAAGATTGATATATTATCATTTACTAAAGTCCATACTTCATTAGATTTTCTTAGTTTTTTCCTAATGTCCTTTTCTATTCCAGGATCCTGGGCAGGACACTGTATCACATATAGTTGTCAAGTCTCCTTAGCTCCTCTTGGCTGTGACAGTGTCTTAGACTTCCCTTGTTTTTGATGACCTTGACAGTTTTGAGGCACACTGGTCGAGGGTTTTGTAGAATCCTCCTTAGTTTGGCCTGTCGGATGTTTTCCTCATGATTAGACTGGGGTAATGTGTTTTTGGGAGGAAGACCACAGAGGTCAAGAGCCATTCTCATCACATCTTATTAAGGATCTGTACTGTCCATATGACTTATCACTGTTGATGTTGACCTTGATCACCTGGCTAAGGTAGTGTTCATCAGGTTTAGCAACTGTGTTTTCATTTGCTGAATCTATACTCAATTCCAGCCCTGTCAGTCTTTCCTGACCAGACCCTCACTTACTGCTGCAGACATTTTTCTGTTCCAACCATAGTGAACTGCTAACAATTTCCCTAATGAACTACACTCTGTCTCTCTTACTGCCAGGCCTTAGGGCTTGTTCTTTCCTTTGCCTGGAATATTCTACTCCCCCACAACCTCCCATCCACACCTCCCCTTCATCTGATTAACTCACTTTTCAGTTGGGCTTCAGTCTCACTCCCTCCAGGAAGATTTCCATTTAGGTCTCACTCCTTCTGGGAAGATTTCTTGCACCCTACTCTGCCAAGACCAGGTTAGGTGTTGCTTCTCTGCCCTGGTCCTACTCTTGTGATATTTACCACCCTGTAGTTATGATCTGTTTGCTTCTCTCCCTGACCCCAGTGCATTCCTGACATCTTACACAGTGCCTGTTTGAACTCAATAAATACTTGCTGAATAAATAAATGGTTATATCAGGCACTTCAGGTAAAGCCTTTAACACACTATCAGCCTTGTAAACAGTGGCTGCTCAGTAAATGCTTGCTTTTACTGTAGGAAAAATAATCTTCCCTAGATGTGAGCAACTGTATTAAGTTTGTGCCTGCCCGACACCCGCAGCACATGCCCCTAGCTGAAGAAGAGATTCTGAAACAATGGTCTCCTAGGATTTCCTGAGAGCCACAGTTAACTGCATCAAAGTATCAATGAGGCCACTTAATGACAGAGATGTTGTTGGGCTAAGTAGGCTACTTTCATTCAGTTTGCAGATTAAAAAGGTATCTTTCTCCCAGTGGAGAAACTTTGAATTACGAACCCCTTGGCCCAGATTTCCATAGTTGGGCATCCTGACCCATTGTTTTTTAGTGGAAAGGACAAAGGGATCCATCCCCTTCTCTTTTTGCTGCCCATGTACTGACTTGTAAATGACTTGTGTGCCTATTGTTGCTTGTCCTTGATGATGAGTACACTTATACGTTGATGTATTTATTAGTGTTTTTCTTTTCACAAATCCAGTGTAGTTGTGACCCCCACCCCTGAGACCCAAAGGAAGCAGACACCTCATAGGTGGTCTCAGGAATCTGTGTTGAACTTTAGGAGTAATTATAATGTCTTTCATTTCTTAATACTTCATGCCAGGTATTTTATCTACCTCACCTCTAATCCTCTCAATAACCTTGCATGTTAGGAATTACTCCCATATTCCAAATGAGAAAGCTAAGGTTTAGGGTGCTTAAGAAATTTTCCCAAAGTTTTTTTTTTTTGGTGGTGGAGCCAGCTTGAAGCTAGGGCTATAGACTTCAGAGTCTCAGCTCCATCCTCTCCATTGTTCAGAAAGTCCTGTAAGAGACAGCCAGCATCTCCCAAGGGCTCGTGCTCATTGGAATGGTTCTTGGGTACATTCCTCCCTTTGTACCTCACTAGGGAAGACCTCCATCGGTTGGTGTTTACCCACCTTCTAGAGCCTCCTTCCTGGACTCTCGATCTCGGATTCCCCACCCATAGCACTCTTAGACTGCCATCGTCCAACTTAGGACTCCAAGAATGCCCATTTTCAGCCTTGGAAATCCTTTGCCTTGCTTCCAGGACCCTATAGTCTATTTCTTTCCCAAGCCTTCTCTCCATGAATCAGATTCCTCCTTCCCCATGAGACTTACACTGACTAGTCCCCTACCCACCTCCCTCTCCTTGGATCTTCATGGCACCTAGGTATGCAAGGCATAAAGTAGTGTAGAATGCCCTTCTGGCCTATGTGGAACCAAAGTATGGTCCCCTGGGTTTCTAATATGGTTTCTCCATCTGGATTGACACCTCCTGAACGACAAAAACCTCTTGTTAAAAAAGTTGACTTTATTGAGGTATAACATACATACACCAAAGTACACCTGTTTAAGTGTTCGGTTTGATAAGGTTTGACAAACGTATACACCCATGTAACCACTGTCACAACCAAGATCTGGAACATTTCTATCACCCCAGAAATACCTCTGAGCTCCTTTGTACTCAACCCCTCCACCTTCGACCCAGGCAACCACTTGCTGGATTTCTATTGCTGTAATTAGTTTTGCCGGCTCTTGAACTACACAAAAATGCAGTCACAAAGAGTGTAGTCTTTTGTGTTGGCCTCTTTTGGTTAGCACGATGTTTTAGAGATTCCTCCATACTGTTTATTTTTTTGTTGTTATTGCTGAGTTGTTCTCTGGTAGAGCCTATACTACAACTTGATTGTCCATGTTGACTAAATTTCGGGCTGTTTCACATTTTTGGCTATAATGAATAAAGTGGCTATAAATGTTTACACACAAATCTTTTGTGAACGTGTTTCATTTCTCTTGTTTGCATACTTCAGAGTGAAACTTTTAGGTCATATAGCAAATATATGTTCAACTTTGACACTGCCAAACTGTTTCCAAAGTGGTAATTCCATGTCACACCCCTATTAGCTGTGTACAAAAGTTCCAGCTTTTTCATATGCTCACCAACTCTCAATGCTTTCAGTGTTTTAAATTTTAGTGGGTATGTAGTTGCATCTCATTATGGTTTTACTTTGCATTTCCCTGGTGATCAAAGACGTTGAACATCTTTTAAGGTGCTCATTGGCCACTCATATCTTTTCTTTTCAAGGTGTCTGCTGAAAAACTTACCTGTTTAAAATTTTCAATTTGTCTTTTTAATTATTGCATTATGGGTTCTTTTTATATTTGTATACACTTCCTACTAGATAAACGTACTGTGAGTATTTTCTTCTGGACTGTGGATTGTCTTTTCACTTGTCTTTTGAAGTCAAGAGGTTTTAAATTTTGATGAAATCCAATTAATCAACTTTAATCATTTTTCAATTTATGGTTAGTGTGTTTTCTGTCATGTCTGTAAAATCTTTGTCTGCCCCAAGATTGTGAAGATTTTCTCCTAAGAAACTTTATGTTTGTTTTTTACATTTAGTTCAGCATATCGCCTATTTGCTGAATGTTCCATGTATACTTGAAAAGAATAATAATCGATTGTACATTTCAAAATAGCTAAAAGAGAATAATTAGAATATTCTTAATATAAGGAAAAGATAAACATTGAAGTTAGTGTATATCCCAATTATCCTGTTTGATCTTTATATATTATATGGGTGTACCATATTACCACATATACCCTAAAAATATGTAGATCTATTATATATCAAGTTTTAAAAAGAATATGTATTTTGTACCTGGTGAATGAATATTGTTTAAGTCAGGTTGGTTGACAGTGATGTTCAAGCCATCTATATTTTTATTAATTTTCTGTCTACTTGTCCTATAAATTATTGCAAAGAGTGTTGGAAAAACTTTAAATTTATCTGTTTGCTCTTTAATTTATGTTCATTTGTGTTTCATGTATTTTGAAGCTGTTATTAGGCCAATACCTATTTTGGTTTGTTCTATCTTTTTGCCTTGACCTGTTTATCACTATGAAATGTCTGCCTTTATCTCTGGTAATATTCCTTGCCTTGAAGTCTATTTTGATATGAATATAGCTTTTCAAGCTATATTGTGTGTACAGTGTATCATTCCCCCATACTTTTACTTTTAAACTATGTTTGTATATATAATATTAGTTTTTTGAAGAATATAGCTGGGTCTTACATTTTTGTCCAGTTTGACAATTTCTGCATTATAATTTCTTTGTTTAGTCCATTTACATGTAATGCAATTATTGAAATGGTTGGTTTTAAGTCTAGTATCTTGCTATTTGTCTCATTTATTTTTTGTTCTGTTCCTGTCTTTTCTTGAGTTATAATAATTGAATGTTTTTAATATCTTGTTTAATTTTGCTATTTTTCATTTATTATTAATATATTTATTGTTTATATTACTATTATTTTATTTTATTTCTTCTTTTTCTGTGTATGTGTTTGTTCTAGGGATTGCAATATGTGTCTTTAACTACCAAAGTATATCTCCAAAAACTATACTGTTTTACATATAAGACCCTTAAAACAGTATACTTCCATTTCTCCTCCCATGCTGTGGGCTATTAGTTACATATTTAATTTCTACGTATGTTATAAATTTCACAATACATTGTTATTATCTTTGCTTTAGACAATGATCACTTAAAGGAATTTTTAAAATGAGACACAAAACAGCATTGTGGCCTCCAGTTAGAGTAGGGGATTATGTGGGCTAGGTTAATTAATGGAGTTGCAGTGGGTCTAGTAGGTCCCTGAACCCATCCTGTAGGTATCTCCCCAGTTCCAGAATGGATAATTTGAATAGGAATAATTGGAATAGACATAGCTGGCAGAATTTCCATGTTGGTTCCCTAACCTGTGGGCATGAAGGATATTATGATGGGAAAAGCCAAATGGAAGCCATTAGAGCTGCCTCTCCCTGGAAAAATAGCAAATCAAAAACAATATCCCATCCTTGGAGGGATTACAGAGATTGGTGCCACCATCAAGGACCTGAAAAATGCAGCGGTGGTGATTCTCATCACATCCTTCCTCTTTCAACTCTCCTATTTGGCCTATGCAGAAGACAGATGGGTCTTGGAGAGTAACAGTGGGTTACTGTAAGCTTAATAAAGTGGCAATTCCAATTGCAGCTGCTGTACCAGATGTAGTTTCCTTACTTAAGCAAATGAACACATCTCCTGGTACCTGGTATGCAGCTATTGATCTGGCAGATGCCTTTTTTTCCATACCTGTCCATAAGGCCCACCAGAAGCAGTTTGTCCTCAGCTGGCAATATCAGCAATACACCTTCACTGTCTACCTCATGAGTATATCAACTCTCCAGCTGTATGTGATAATCTAGCTCACGAGAATCTTGATTGCTTTTCCCTTCCACAAGCTATCACACTGGTCCATTACATTGATGACATTAAGCCAACTGGACCCAGTGAATAAGAAGTAGCAACGACTGTGGACTTATTGGTAAAATATTTGCATCTCAGAGGGTGGGAACTAAATCCAACTTAAATTCTGGTCCCTTCTACTTCGGTGAAATTCTGGGGGGTTTAGTGATGTGGGCCTGTCAAGATATTCCTTCTAAGGCGAAGGATAAGTTATTGTATCTGGCCCCACCTACAAACAGGAAATAGGCACAACACCTAGTGGGTCTATTTGGATGTGGAGGTAACACGTTCCTCATTTGGATGAGCTACTCTGGCCCATTGATCAGGTGACTGAAAAGCTGCTAGTTTTCAGTGGGGCCCATTCGAGGGGAAGGCTCTGCAACAGATCCAGCCTGCTGCACAAGCTGCTCTGCTTCTTGGGCCACATGATCCAGCAGATCCTATGGTGCTTGAAGTGTCAGTGGCAGATAGGGGTGCTATGTGGAACCTTGGCAGGCCCCTACAGGTGAATCACAAAGGAGGCCTTGAGGGTTTGAAGCAAAGTCTTGCCATCATCTGTAGGTAACTACTCTCTTTTTGAGAGACAGATCTTGGCCTGCTACTGAGCCTTAGTATAATAGAAACTGAATGCTTGATCACGGGCCACCAAGTTTCCACGCAACCTGAGGAAGGTCCCTATCATGAAGGAGGTGTTATCTGACCCATCTAGCCATAAAGTCAAGCATGCACAGCAGCCTTCCATCATCAAATGGAAGTGGTATATATGTTATTGGGCTGAGCAGGCCCTGAAACCACAAGTAAGTTAGATGAAGAGCTAACCTACCTCCTCTCTCTTTCTCTCTCTCTTTCTGAGTGAGATGCCTTTTCTTTTCCTGCCCTTGGGCATCAGACTCCAGGTTTTTTGGCCTTTGGACTCTGGGACTTGTACCAGTCACTCCCCTGGGGTTCCCAGGCCCTGGGACTGCACTGTTGGCCTTCCTAATTTTGATGCTGCCAGAGTTGGACTGAGCCACACAACTAGGTTTTCTCATTCTCCAGCTTGCAGGCAGCCTATCATAGGACTTTGTCTTTGTAATTATGTGAGCCAGCTCTCCCTAATAAATTCCTTCACACACACACACACACACAGGCACACACCCCCCCCACATATATATGTATATATATGATAAATAAATAAATATATATATCCCATTGGTTCTGTGCTGCTGCAGAATCATGACTAAATTCAGTCACGTTCTCTTAGTCTTTCTTCATTTAGTCAGCCTTTTTCCCCATGTATGTCAGACTAATAGTTTTTATTGCCCTGTCTTCAAGTTCACTGATCTTTTCTTCTGTAGTATCTAATCTGATCTTAGTCCTATCTAGTTATTCTTTTATTGAAGATACTGTATTTTGAGCTCTAGAAGTTCTATTTGGATTTTTAAAAAGTAGTTTCTATTTCTCTTCTCGTTTGGTTCATGTTTTCCTTTAGTTCCCTGAAACTATTATAACTGTTTTCAATTCCTTGTCTGCTAATTCCAACATCTCTGTCATTTCTAATCTGCTTGCAAAGATTGATTTTTCTGTTATAGCTTACATTTTCCTGGTTATTTTCATGTCTGATAATTTTTTAATTGAATGCAGAACATTGTGCATGTTAAGTTATTGATCTTCCCACCTCAGCCTCTAAAGTCACTGGGATTACAGGCATGGACCACCACACCCTGGACCACGTGTAAATTCTCATAGTTGTTCAATTTACAGATCACTGGCAATTGCTTTTTTTTCTGATACTTGTTCTGTGTGTGATCTTATGGAGCCCTATCCTACAAATATGTGGCTTAATATTTAGACAAATACTCTAGGGCACCCAACGAGGATCTCTGGAGCTCTTTCTCCTTGTAGCTACTTCATTGGTACAGTGTCCCTCAAATATCAGTCACCTCAACCTCCCTTAACTTTGGTCCTTGTCTCTTCATCTCAGGAAATTTCCTATCTGATTAGGTTCCTTCTCTTTCCTGGAGTCTGATAAAAGTGTATAGGCAGAAATCCAGGTTGTCTCACCTTAATTGTTTATCTTCTCACAGGCATCACAAACCTGTCGTGTGTTGACAATATCTGAAAGTATTAATAGTTGTTTCATACATTTTGTTTAGTGTCATAAATATTTGTAATAGCAGAACCAGTTGATACCAGTTATTCCATCATGACCAGAAGGAGAATTCTAAGAATTACTTTACAAACTTCTCTATTTGTGCCTTTTTAAAACTATGCACTGAGCACAAAACAGAATTAGAGAAATCTCAAGGGTCTGCCCACCTCTGATGTTTTGCTGATGTTCTAGGACAGAACATAACATTGGGACAGGATTTTTTTGAAGAATCAAAGCCCTGGAGAGATTGGACCTCTTCCTTTGGAAATAGACAATCATATCTATAAGGTCTTTTCTGTCAGCTCCAAGACCAAAGACTTAATCATTGTGTCTAGGAACTACTATAATAGGTGCACACAGGGCCAAGTGTATGCTGACTTCAGTCACTGCCATGTGGTTGTCTGTCCTCAGGAGTGATTGGTGATTGTGTGGTCTCTGAATTTATTCTAACTACAGGTCACGAATGCCTCAGCAATACAACAGAAAGCCCAGGGTCAGCTGGGCCTATATGCTAATAGGAGTGAAATATATTGGATATAGAAAGATAGGGACAAAGGATGTGGGAGATGATTAGCAAACCCAGGAAGACTTCATAGCTGAAAAGTTGAAGAGGGAGAAGGAAGGAAGGATGAGCATATTGATTCATTCATTATGTAATTTGAATGCCTATAATGTACCAGGCACTGGCACTGACAATTTCTAGTGTCCTCAATTAAAGTTAATGTTGACACACATATATTTCTGTGTGATTAGGAAAGGAATCAAACAGCCCATGCCTCTCCTTGTGGTTTCCATGGCTGCATCCTATTCATTCTGCATCTTTGGAAGTTTCATTTTCCCTTCCTCACCCTGGTTTCACCTCCCTGTGGTCTGAATGATCCGAATGTCTGGACTTCCCAGTTGCCCCTTTAGAAACAGTGAATATGTTCAGAGTTAGGGTAGGGAGAAGTTGGGTTGAATCAAGGAAGTAATCATAAGAGCTGGGTTAGACTATTTGTATTTAACTCATAGAGAAAATTCATATTTCTTGAGATAAGGCTGGAGTCTTCTGGGAAAGGCCTTTGAGGTTCAGTAACATTTTATGACATTACTGGAGAGGATTCTCCAGATGCAGGCAGAACTGGATGTGATACAGTAGAAATCCCATAGGCTTGGAAGCCACATAGAAATTCCTGTTTTCAAACCTCCACGCTGCCATTTGTTAGCTGTGTGATCTTGGAAAAGTTATTTCATCTCCTCAGACCCCAGATTCCTCACCTGAAGCAAGGATGTTTTACTTCTTAGTGCTGTTAGGAAGGTCAAAAGAGGAATGTGGAAAGGGCCAACTGCAGGAAATGTACAAATTTACCGGCATCTTCCTTTTATGGTTGTGTTCCTTTCACTCCTAAACTACACAAGAAAGCAGATTATTGGTGGGGGTTAGGGGTAACAGTTATACTTGTGCAGTCTCCACTTCCTCAGTGCCTCTCAGGTGGGACAGGTAAGTCAGGGAAAGCAGCATTCACAAGCAACTTGGATTTGTCCACTGGTAGGCTTTTTGGGAAATTGAACCCAAAGATGCTTTGGTAACATTCTCCTCACTGTGTCTTTAGATCTCTGACCTTAAAAAGCACTGTCTCTTCTACTCTCTTGGGACCTCTATGGCAAGCAGATA